CCCACCCCCAATAGGCTAAGCAGATACAGATCTTTGAAGTTCTTTCAACAAGCCATTTTCTCTGCCCTTTGAATTCTTTCTTTGGAACTTTTTGGGACTCTTCCAAGTTTTTCAAAATCTCTTCAAACACGGATATCACAGTGAGTTGCAGGACTTTAATGTCCATCCCATCAATGCTCCTACTCATTTCTGCTCCTACTCGCTTCTCTCCTGTTACATGCATATGAGGATGGCATCAGCCCTTTTCACTGCAATGTTTCACTTGAAGTTTTTACTGAGCTGCCTGCCTGTTGTGTTGCTCAAACTGAAGCCACAGTCCACCTTTATTACACTTGGACAACACCAAGCGACCTATAATGAAAATATAATAGACAATCAGTATTTCGCTTCACATTTATGTTAGGTTTCTTTAACTGCGGTTGTCACAACTGTTCCAGTCAGTCTTATGGCATTCTCCTGCTATTCAATAAAAATAAAAATAAAAGTAAAAATAAAATAAAAATCAGTGATCCAGTAATGTTTTTACCAACTCTTTTAACATATTTGGCAGGTTAATGAAGCCCACTCGTTTAGAAATATTTCTCCCAGATAGATGTTGTTTAATGTTCTCTTATGTTAATAATATAATGGAAAGTGCTTTATTTATAGTCCTGTAATAAAAAAATAGAAAATCCGGTTTCTATTTAAATACAGAGAGAAATATTTGTTTCATTTACTGTATTGTTTTAAATCAGGGATCCTGCATTATGCTGAAATTTTTCATATTCCTAGTATACTTTTAAAACTTCTAATTTTCCATCCAGTTATAGATTTTTGGGTTTGTTTCGTTTTTTTTTCCTATTATGTCCATTTCATTCACAACAAAATTTCTCATTTATATTGATTGTTATCTATTTCATCTTTCTTTGGCTGTACAGCCTTCTCATTCCTAACTTGTAGCATCTCTCCACCATTAGACTTGGGTGGACTTCCCTCTTACTGTGGAAAAATGTTGTTGGACTATCAGATAAATTCTTCGTACAGGACAGTCAAATTCATATTTTTATAGCTGAAGATTTTTTCCCCCCATTTCTGGTTAATATTGACTTTATTATATATTTATTATGTTATATTATTTTGAGAAACTTGTTCTCCTGAGGTGCCAAATTTCGTTTGGGGCTGGCCTCAGTTTGCCCTTCGTGAACATCATCTGGTTATAATCAGTTAGTCTACAAATATGAACCAGCTTCTTCTGCAATGATTACTTCACCGTTTTCATCATGCTGACATTTCCGTGAGGTGGTGCCTTTTGTATTAGAAAATTATTATGCAGCTTTTTGGGGAACTCCGACGACAGTTGCATGAGTAGTCCTAAACTGAAGTTCCCCACAACCAGAGTTTTATTTCCTGGCATGTTAAGAAATAATTCATCCTGGTGTCCGGTTTGATTTGGGTTGATTTGGGTTATAATGGACCTCTGCTAGTAATCTGTCACAGCTTTCTTTGTTGCTGCATTCATATTTCACATTTAAATCTTGTAGTTATTGGATTTATTGATAATTCTAAACAAAGTGACAGCATCTTTAACATAATCTTTTTCTCTCCTTTGCCTCTCCCCCATCACAGTCTTTCTTCTTGGTTGGAGATTAATGTTTAAAACATTCTGTTATGTATTTACATGTTCATTAACATAGATTTTTATGAATGAAGATCTATAGTGTTGGAGCCATTGCAATATGCAATTTGTTTGTGATTTTAAGTGTTTTGTATTAAATCTGAACTGATGATAGAACAACACTTTCCAGTAAATCTGCTTAATCTGAATAGTTAAATCAGTATTTTATCATGTTAGCCAATTCAGTTGGGCTGGACTTCTTCAACTAGATACTTTTCTTTTCCCCTTTGCTCTATGATTGCTGTATTCTTGAATTTTATACTCTATGAAGAGAATTATATTCAGATCTAAAAGGAGCTATGAGCAAGAGCAGCACCTTTTTCTTGCTGCTCTCGCTCATAATTTTGACAGTCTGGGATTCATTGGAATGAAACTGGGACACTTTGAATATAATTTGAATATTACATTCAACTGAAAGCAGTTGCTTATAATGTTTTGGCCCTTCCTTTCAGTTGGCTTGTTTGGACATCTTCAGAGAAATGCAAAGAACCTCTGCAAGGAGGATATACATAACTAAACCATATAAAGCAGTTATTCACAGGCTAGCACACACAGAAGATAGCTAGGAGTTAACAAGCATTGGGCTAAGCACTTGCATACTCACCACCCCGATGGATGAGGCATCCAAAGAGCTGCAGCTGCCCAACTTGGTGTCAACTAGGAGTAAATATTGTTTTGGTAAAATGGATTACTTGAGACAAAAGAATCCTTTATGTTTTGAGGATTTATTTGGAATAAAGGAGGAGAGGAATTGTCATCTCAGAAAAATGCATGTCAAAATTTTATGTGTTAAACTGTAAACTCTGCTTTAAATTAATAGATTATTCATTACCTTTTTATTTGACTTGTGTAAAGGCTTTACAGACATGATCAGTCTCTGCATTCTATAAATCATAATGACTGTACAAGAAAAATGATACAAAATTATTTTCTCAGTGAAATCAGCATGGATTTCTTACTATTTGTTGCTAAAATGAGTACAAGTATTTGTATCCCCACAAATAATTTTCCAACACCAACATCCAGTTATATATTTTGCTCTTCAGTGGTTGAGCTCTTCTCAAATCTAATCTATATATTACTAAGAAAAAATAAGTAAGGCAGATAAAAATGCTCTGACAGAAGCTTAGCTATAGTAAGTTAACGTAGACAACTGCATGCCATCTACATGGAAGGAGCATATGGGAAAGTATATATGCTTGTTTTCTACCTCTTGTATTTTGGTTTGTGGTATAGTTGTTTTGTTTCCCAATCTAACACAGAAGCTAAAGTAGCACAAGCTTCTATTGTTGCTAGTTATCAATTTGTAATAGCTGATATATGTTAAATGCATGTATGTAAATTGGTAATTGTTGAATGTCACTTGCGGAAGTGGGGAGGAATGCTGTCATAAGACTACATCATTGTTACTGAGCATTTAAAGTTGTATAGGTAATAAGATTTTTAAAAAAAGATCAATACACAGTCTGGGGTACAAAAATTATTCTGAACATTTTGATCGCTGTAAATGACAGCTCCAAGAATTTTAAGCTTCCAGTATTTTCTAATTTAAATTAGTGAAGTATTTGACCATCAGTAAAACAAGGAATTCCACTTACAGCAAACTACAAGGTTTGTCTCTCCTTTTAGCTTCTGCCAGTGCTGCCTCCCAGTTTACAATGTCAAGTTGCACTGTTGCCTCATAAGAAGCCCACAAATTAGAAAAGCAAAATCGCTGGTTTGCTTTTCTGCATCCTACAGCTCAATGCTTTGCCAAATACTCCTACTGTTTGTTCCCTTCTTCCCAGCCCATGCTCCCAAATTATCTCAGGCCCCTCGTTTCCACTCCCTTGCCCTACATAGCAGGTAGGATAGGACAAAAGTCACTGGTATGTATAATTTGCTTCTTTTAAGCCCAGTAAACTGATTAGCTAAGGAATGATTTCTGCTGCAGAAATATTATTCAAGGTTGAAAAGGGAAATTCTGACTCAGACACATTTCTTTTTCTTCTGTTTCCCATTTCTGTATTCTTGTCTGGATTTGTTGTCACTTTTCCCTTCTTCCTGGCCAGATTTTCCCCTCAGTTTACTATTCAACATATTTTCCTTTTTTATTAATCTTTGTACAAATAATTCTCAAAAATTCAGTTTCATCTTTCTTTTTTCTCCTGTTTTTAAATATCGATTATAGCTTCTAGGCTATAATCTTTGACCCATGTTCTAGCGTTTCTTTGACCTTTCCCTCACTTGTCATTACCTTCCTTCTTTAAAGAGTCTATTCCTCTCCCCTTGCCCTCTATTTTATGTTTTTTCTCATTCCTCTTTTCTTTCTGTCTTTTCATTTCTCCCTATTTTCCCCCCTTATTCTTAATCATCTTTTGATAGCTATGTCCTCGCTACTGTATTCTTCTTCTGCCTGTCCATCTTCCCTCTCACTCAGGCTTCTTGTCTTGATCTAGGAATTGAAATCTATGTGTCCCTGTGGAGAGAGCCCACCACAGTAGCCTGCCCATTCTTCTTTGAAGTCCTGCCTTGGGGTCATACAAGCTTCTGCCCTGGAGAATGCTCTAGTCTCTTCCTCCTTCCTGCTCCTCCCTCAGCATTTCACTACAGTATCAGGAGTGAAAGTGCCAAACCTTTTAAACTGTTGAGCTGGAATAGCTATGACTGGAGAAGAGATGCAGAAGAGAAACAGGGTGTTGTTAGCGTGATGAGAGGAACTCTTTGCAGGTTGCCGGTTGGGTTTATGTACAACCAATTTTAGCAATTGCATGAGACCATGGAGGAATTATCTTCATCCTGTACTGTATGAGTTAATCTATAGTAATTACAGACTATGTTGAGCCCAGGCTTTGCACATCAGCTGCTCCATGCACTGCAGCAGATAACCAGCAGTAATGGGCTGCTGGAGGAGATTGCAGCTTTAGCTCCTTTGCCTGTTGCGCGGTGTGCTGCGCTGCTCTCAGCCCTGTACTGGGGTTTGCTTCTTCAGATGATAGGATGGGATATGCAGGTGAGACTTTAGCGCCGGGCTGCAGGATTAAAGAGATGGGAGGGAAGGGGTTGTGTCTGTCCTCAGTCCACTGTGGATTAGGGGACATCCCATAAAGTTGAGCCAATGCTGAGCTTTTCGGATGAGGGGAGCCATGCCTGTGCTTTTCTGCACATCACTAGGGCACACTGTTTAACACAAGAATGAGAAAACTGAAGAAGGCCACCCTGCTGGGAAGCTGTGCTGTCCATCTATCTGTCTGTCTATCCCATAGCATGCACTTCACACTGCAGAGGTCTGAAGATTATCTCCGTTGTGACCACAGTCACTGCTTTCTGCTTCTTTTGCTCATAACCAATCTTGGTGTTGTTACAGGCCGTGGTATCTGCTCATGCGGCCGATGCATTTGCCAGGACGGGTGGTTTGGAAAGTTGTGCCAGCATTCAAGGAAGTGCAACATGACAGAGGAGGAGAGCAGAAGTCTCTGCGAGTCAGCGGATGGCATATTATGCTCAGGAAAGGGTAAGAACTGACAGCTGAGCTACCATGTCAGTGCCCTGGCAGAGGAAAACAATCATGTTCTGGAAGGCTAATGTGCATGGCAGTGGGTTGTTGTTTGGTAACCCTTTCTTTCAAAGGCACCTATTATTAAAAGGATGTTATATTTGGCTCTGTAATGCACTTACATCCATTTTGTCAAACACCCACCACAGTTGTACATGTTTAGCAGCATTGCTCTCCTATGCAATTTGTTAATAGCATATAATTTTCTGTATGTGTTTATCTGATGGTCTGCATTGAACAGCTGTACATTATAAACTAATCGTTAGCGCTCCATCCAGTTTGAGGGACAGGGGCATTACCTGCAGTAACATTGTGATGGGCAAGATGGCAAATGTAATATCTCAGGCAACAGTAAGTGGAGGAGAATGTTTAAGAGCAACATTTAAGTTGCAGGGGTATGCTTAATCACCCCCCCTGCCCAACACAGCAGCAAAGGAAAGGTAGACATCTGCAGCCCCCACAACAGAATCCCACAAACTCTCTCATTTACTAATTTTTATTCAGATAGTTGCATGAGCTTCAGTCCAGCTATAAAAAATTGCCACAGGGAGGAATAAAATTTAGAAAATCTTGATAATTATCTGGAATTTTTCTCTGAGGTTCTTACCTTGCAGTCTTTCAGGCTAGGAAATTGCATTACTGGAAAGAGGGCTTTTTAGCTCCCCCATAGTGCAAACTGCCTATTTTTGTATATAATATGTCTGAAAGAGAATAGACGAAAAATGGTTGGTGGGACTGGCTGGAGGCTAGAATGCACACACTCCAGACTGGACGTGCCATTTCCTCTCTTTGTATATCCCTTGCATAGACAGGGAAGAAACCTGCTAGCTGGAAAAAAACAGTTAGGAGCCTTCTACATCAGGCAGATTTCCACTTGTCCCTTTGGTAACTTTTATTTCAGTGCAAAGGAAATGTAAATGGGGTTTCCAGCCCGGCCTTCTTCCATCTGTATTATCACTTGTCAGAATTCTCCCCCACTGCACCGTTTTATTTTGGTTTTTCCCCCCTAGTCATCACAATGTCATTAGAAAATGAGGAAGTTGCACTGCTTCTCTATTGTTTCCAGAAGATGTGGCTATCTTTAAATTAGTGTATGTGTAAGAGGGTGCTGAGTTACTGGAGAAATGGAGTTACTCTGTTTTACTGCAGAAGTTAACTTCTCTTCTCTTAGTCTTGGTCTCCCTGTGATTTTTTTATATAAACCATGAAGGTGAGCAAATATGCTTAAAATCGCTAAAATGCACTATATAAGATTCTATATAAATGTAAACATGAAAAATGATGTCGAATTTTAAAATATTTGTATTATCTGCTATCTTTTTGTAAGGATGGCTGAGAGCTATTTATTCCAGCCTGTGGGTCTTACTCTGAGAACAATTAGCTTTGAGCACGTATATCAAGGCTACAATTTACTCTGCGGCTTTGGGAGCAGATAATCCGGCAGGAATATGCAGAGACATCAAGGATTTTTTTCCCTCTGTTGGCTGTGCTGCCCAGGGGGTGGTTTGGGATCTGGGCATTGATGTAGGCTGGAGCAGCCTGAAAGTTGCTTTAGGTTGTAACCAGCTGCAGGCAGGTAGTGCTTTTAAACCTGGCTGCATGAATGGAGGCTCCGAAGGCCCAGTTCTAATGCAGTAGCGCACTGTTGAACAGCATTTACTTTCTATGGGAATTACAAACCTGACCCTAAATCCATATTCAGCAACACTGGTGGGATTTTTTTTTTTTAAGCTTCTTCGGCCTCCAAGCACAGGTAAGCTTCCAATGTGATGGAAGGTTGCCCTGAGGACGGTCAATGTAATAAAGCGGTGTCAAATTATTTGCTATAGCAGCTTTATTGTGGGAACAGCTGGTCATATGTAAGTGCTTGTCCCAGCAGGGAAATACCTACATAAGATAACTTCCAGAAGTGTGTGGCCAGTGAACGTCCAAGGAGGCTACTATCTCCTGCCTCTTCTCTGGGCAGGATGGGGATCACAGGCAAAGACAGATTAATTACTTGTAACTTTTGTTTCTATGCTTAGCTTTTTTCTGCCTTTATTTTTTTTTTTTGGGCAAATCTATTCTTGATGCTTAAATATGTATCTGGAAACCATGTCTTACTGGGTACCCATACTTTAAAATGTTGTTCACCGGCACTATCCAGAGGCCAAAATGACAAATTGTTCTTTCTGTTTCATTACATTGAGCAATAAGTAACCATTACTGGTCAAATAAAAGGGAATTTCAAACCTGTGCGCTAATGGTGGTTATTCTGTCTTTGCTGGAAACCTAGCCAAGATATGCAATGCTATAATGGATTGAGGGAGCTTGAGTTTCTGTATGTAGGATTTATTACACTCTAAGGAGTCCTGGTTTTCAGCAGATAACTGCTGAACACCTTCAGAAAATTACACTCTGTTAATATAAGCAAAGTTGGACATCCACATTCCTAGGCTGTTTTCAAAATTTTGGCTTGCTGACTGTGCCACCTGTGGTAAAAGCTCTTCCCAAGGAAAACAGCAACACCCACCATGCTGCTGCCTCCCTGGCAGTAAATGTAGGGCTGCAGATGGCTACTGTAACGGTGCCGGACGCAGGCTAGGTAATGAGCCAAATCCCATCCGAGAGGATCTGGCTGGGATCCTAGGGAACACCCTGCAACTCATTAGACTCATTTTAATTAAACTGAGGAGCCTCCCAGAGCAGCATGCTGTATTCAGGGAAAAGACCTGATACATTCATTCTCCCTAACAGATTTTACATTATGGAGCCTGATCTTCCTTGGTTGACTTGGTGTTAAATTTGCTATATCTTCTGCAAAACAGTTTTAAACGTCGTGGGCATCCCTCAGTAGCCGCATCAGTGCTTGCTTGTGCAAAATCACTTCCGGTTTCTTACAACGTCATGCTTTTATTAACTGCTTTAATTTCACTAAAATTCTCATACTATTCATCATTATTTTCAGCTGTCAGTACCTTGTAGTTTGTATAAACAGAGACATTCAGTTTAAATTACCCTCAAGTATGTCTCAGTGTCTCTCTTATACAGCAACCACGCAATATGTATGCTATCCTCCACTGCCTCTTTACACAATGGCATTTTTTATCCTTGTGGGGCATGTCAGTATTTTCTGTGCCCATGGCTCAGTAAGCAATCATAGAATCATAGAACCATAGAATCATTAAGGTTGGAAAAGACCTCTAGGATCATTGAGTCCAACCGTCAACCCAACACCACCATGCCCACTAAACCATGTCCCTAAGCGCCTTGTCCATCCATCTTTTAAATACGTCCAGGGATGGTGACTCAACCACTTCCCTGGGCAGCCTGGTCCAATGTTTAACCAGTCTTTCAGTAAAGACATTTTTCCTTACATCCAATCTAAACCTCCCCTGGCGCAACTTGAGGCCATTTTCTCTCGTCCTATCGCCAGTTACTTGGGAGAAGAGACCATCACCCACCTCGCTACAACCTCCTTTCAGGTAGTTGTAGAGAGTGATGAGGTCTCCCCTCAGCCTCCTTTTCTCCAGGCTAAACAACCCCAGCTCCCTCAGCCGCTCCTCATAAGACTTGTGCTCCAGACCCCTCACCAGCCTCGTTGCCCTTCTCTGGACACGTTCCAACATCTCAACGTCCTTCTTGTAGTGAGGGGCCCAAAACTGAACACAGTATTCGAGGTGCGGCCTCACCAGTGCCGAGTACAGGGGCACGATCACTTCCCTACTCCTGCTGGCCACACTATTTCTGATACAGGCCAGGATGCCATTGGCCTTCTTGGCCGCCTGGGCACACTGCCGGCTCATATTCAGCCGGCTGTCAACCAGCACCCCCAGGTCCTTTTCCTCTAGGCAGCTTTCCCGCCACTCTTCCCCAAGCCTGTAGCGCTGCATGGGGTTGTTGTGGCCAAAGTGCAGGACCCGGCACTTGGCCTTGTTGAATCTCATACAGTTGGCCTCGGCCCATCGATCCAGCCTGTCCAGGTCCCTCTGCAGAGCCTTCCTACCCTCGAGCAGATCAACACTCCCGCCCAACTTGGTGTTGTCTGCAAACTTACTGAGGGTGCACTCGATCCCCTCGTCCAGATCGTTGATAAAGATATTGAACAAGACCAGCCCCAATATACTCAGAACTCATGGAAAAAGTAGGTGCTTAACCAAATACTCCCATCCCCAAATGTTCCAATCACTAGTCCTTCCTGTATATATTTACATGTTCCGTATGTTACAAGTTAAAACAGCATTTCTCTAAAATTAGGTAATGAGTTAATTTTTGTCAACTTACAATAAACATAAATTACTTGAATTTTTAATTAAAAAATTGGATACTCTGCTGAGGCTGTTCTGAAGTTTTAAAGAATTAAGTTTCAGTGATCAGAGGCACTTCAGTATTTAGGGGAAAAACCTAGGGAAAATTGGTTGATATTGACAGATCCACATTTTTTTAAAAAATGTGTATTTGGATTTTTACTGTGGATTTTATTCAGAGGTCATTGAAAGGAATGGAAAGATGAAAAAGCATCATTGTATACACTTGGCTCAAGCCCTGTTAATTCATTAACCCATGAATTCTGTTTAGGTTATATTCTGACATAACCACGGTTCCTTCTATATATTTTTCTTTAATATTACATTAAACAGATCGGTGACTTTGTACTGGAAACATTCTGGAAATATTGCAAGAGGGTGGGATTTTCAACAGCATCTAACTAATTTATAAGCATGTTCTGTTAAAGGTTGACAGCTTCTTTGGTGACTTTTTTTTTTAAACTCCGCCCCCCCATAATTGAAAACTATATGTGTATTCTTTGTTCTCATTTATTTGGTTTTTGAGATTTTTGTATTGATTTGTGCTGTAACCAGTTCTTAGGGCTAGGTCCACAAAAGGATTTTTGCTCAGCAGTTACTAAGCGCCCCACCTTGGCGTTTAAGTGCCTCAACTCAGTATAGGGTCAGGCAGCTGAGGATGGGCTCTGTAAAAGCCAACTCTCTTCAGCCGGGTGTTGGAATCAGCCGGGAGGAATTACCACCTCCCAGTGGCATTTCTAGTTGCAGAAAAGGCTCTCCCACATCCGTCTCAGACTACAGGCTTCCTGGCACATGATTGCCTGGGGGCATTTGTCCTTTTCCAGGATTCAGAGCCATGAACCTTCTGAAGGTAGGGGTGTCTCTGATTCTTCCCTTAAATGGAGGTTTCTGGTGCTCGGTGGGTTACGTCATCACCTGAATGTCACCATAAAGTCCCTCCTTTGCCTGTGGGGGTGCGACCTGACATCCCTGAGGAGGAGGAGAGCGGCTTATCTCAACAAGGGGCATTGGGGTACTCTGCAGGAATGAGCAAACTGTTGAACCGCTGTTATGTGCATGAACTTTTTCTGACCTAGAGCAAATATTTAGTAATTCCATGGGAGGTGGAGCAGCTTCATTTGTGGTGATGAGGATTTTGGGGGTCTAAATGTTAGTCTTAGGCACCTCTGGTCTTTTGTGGACTCATCCCTAAAGGCTTTAGATGAGGAGGGCCATTTTCTTCCCAGGTACGATTTTATTGCCTTCAGTAACAGTGGGTCAGGGACAATTTGAGTTTTTCTAGTAAAAGAAAAAAGAACGGTTACTGGGAAGAGTAGCCCTGATAGTAGGTCTCTGAAACCAAAGGAAAGCTTCAAAATGTGAGTCCTGATTAAGTGAAGTAGCATTAGTATATAATAATATTAGCATATAATAATATAATATTCTATGATAAGAATCAAAGCATTAGTAGTAACGTCCCACCATACTCTAGCTCACCCCAAAAGAATCCTTTTATTCAAAAAGCTTTTAGCTTGATTATTTTCTTTTAGGCAATAGCTTTTTAGGCAGCAATTTTGTGCATATGCACACGTGTGTATGTGTGCACGTGTGTGTCTGGGGATGTTATTTTCTAGTCTGAAAATGCCAGTGTTCTTTGACTGCGAGTAATAATTTTTCTGATTTCAGGTTCCTGCCACTGTGGAAAGTGCATCTGTTCACCACAGGAATGGTACATTTCGGGTGAATTCTGTGAATGCGATGACAGAGACTGTGACAAACATGACGGTCTCATTTGCACAGGTGCAGTACAGGCTCACACTTAATTGCTCTAAGAAACAAACTGTGTTGATGGGAATTATGTCAGACAAAGCCCAGTCTCTTGTTTCTCCACTGACGGAGGAAGTGCATTTGCTGGTTATTCAAACCTGCTATAATTGTTTCTTCGTGCAGTGTGATAATCAACTTAAGGTTTCAAAACAACAGTTGAAAGCCTGAGTATGAATGTAAATAAGTAAGCCAGCTATGAAATCCATCAACACTTTTCCCCGTAATAGACTACAAGTTGCTGCTTTTTGGCAAAGGGCGTACAGTGTCAGCATTTTGATCATGAGATATTTCTTTAACTTTTGTTCTCTTATTGGACTTTCTATGTGTATAATGCATTTAAGTCATAGACAAAATCCACTTGTCTGATGATCTTTGGTAGGTGAGAGGCATAGCTGTGTGGCTTAACAGAGCTTCCTGGCAATCAGACAATTCTCAGTGTGAGGCTGAAATGCCTGACAGTTTTCCTTATGACGTGATGGCTAGTGATTAAAGCGGCTTCACCTTAGCATTGTCTGAGAGTTCAGGTGGCAGATGCGGCTAGAAATGGGCAGGCTGCCACAAACCCTCATGACAAATCCAGTGACAAGAAGCCACACGGGAATTGCTAAATTAACTCACTGGCTGCTTCCTGTTACAAATCTTAATTTTAGAAAATCTTTGCTGAGCAATTATTAGATGTGGAGGAAATCTGCAAGCCAATGAGAGTGCGAGTGGGAGGGCTGACAGTAGTAAACTGTGTCTTCCAGCTAGCCCCATCAACAAGGGTCCTTTTCTGGGGGCAAGTAGCCAGCATAGAGGCAACAGGAGCCTTATCTTCAGCTGCAGCGGCTCTTCACGGCTCTTCATAAAGTCAGTAGGAAGAGGTGCTCACATTGGAAACCCAGGCTGTAGAGATGTCAAGCTGAGCATCCAGGAGTCATGACAAATATTGAAATAAAATGAAAATGAGAGTCTCAGTACTTAATGTTTCCCCGCTGCAAAATAGGGCCAACACATTTTTCATCTAATAGAGAGTTTAAGATATTATTTATTTGTATAGCACTTCTGAGAATTTAGGTTTAAAGTTTTTCATGTTCAAAGTGATGTTTTTATTGCTATTCTGTTTGTAACTTTTAATGTCTTTTTCTTTCTGCATAATAGTTAAAAGTAATCTTGTTTTTCCTTGTACCTGGAGGTACAGTGTGAACACTGATCCTCGACAGCTGGGTACAAATAGTAGTAGCATAATTACAATATTTGCAATTCTGCTGATGGAATTATTGAGAGAATGCTATTAATTCTTTGTAAGTGTAGGTTTGGGGTGGCTTCTTAATGCAATGGTACAGTAATTGCTTCCTTCCAAAGCAAAAAAAAAGGGGTGGGGGGAACAATAGAGGAACAATGCATCTACTTTAGCATGGCTTTTTACTTCCCATAAAACACATTTAAATGTAGTACATTTCAGTTATGATGATTGTCCTTTATTCATTCTGTTCTAGGCAATGGTGTTTGTAGCTGTGGAAACTGTGAGTGCTGGGAAGGATGGAATGGAAATGCTTGTGAAATCTGGATGGGGAGAGAATACCCTTAACAACGGACATCAAAGACTGAGGAGGTTTATTGTTTGTTTTTTCTTTAGGCTGCTAGAACATTTAATTTCAGAAGTACTCAGTGTGTGGGTGTATGCGTGTGCATGCACGCACATGTACATGGGTGTAAATACTTTAGAACACTCATTTGAGGGCCTGCTCCTTAAAGAAATGCATGACAAAACTAAAAAAAAAAATAATTAAAAAATCACTTGGGAGCAGGACAGTCCAAGCTCTAAAAGGTGAAGTCATAAAATACTGGCCCTGTGGAACTTCTTCAGAGTTTTTTGGTAAATTCAGTGGAACTGAGATTAAACCCATAATGCCTATTTTTTAAGCAACCTTTGGAAACGGTGTAAGAAAGCCTTTTTTTAACATTATTTACTTGGTTGTCACCTCTCCATGTCAGTATGCAACACTCTTCCTATAGAAGGGTAGCACTAGTTGAATATTTGTCAAATAATTAATTTGATTAATTTGATGGTGTTTGACAAATACATTGTTTGGCTCTTTTTTCTTTCTAACAATCCTGATCATGCATCAACTCCTAAATTGAGAGAAGCTGTAAAGATGCTTATCAAAACATTTTTTTTTTTTTTTTGGTCAAAGAATTGTGTTTGTATAACTGAGGTACAATTACCTGACAACCATAGACTGAAGACCCAAAATGTTTGAACAGACCCTTGTCCACAAGAGAACTTCTTAGTTTCTGTGGTTAATGTGTCAGTAAGTCGGTTATCTAGTCTGCATACTACGATACTTTCAAATACATAACCTATAGGAGTATAAGGAATGAAACTAATAAAGATATAAATGTATGATTAGCTATTCTGAACATGTATTCTGCAACTCATGTACTTTTATCATACTGTTCTATGTATGTACAGTTGCCTAGTCCTCTTAAAAGTAAAGCAAATGAAAATTTGTTATACCAATAACTTTTAGGATGACAATTCTGTGTGCTATTAGAAATCACTGTTTGGAACAGATTGCACTGTCACACATGGTATTCATTGAATTTAACTGCTTTTATAGAAGTGGGGAGCCTGAAGGTCAACTGACTTGAAAAATCAGCTATTCTATGCAGTAGCCTGGTCTCAGCCAAAGATGTTCAGACAATGGCGACAAAGTAATTAAAGTTTTAATACAGTAAATACAAACAAAGCAGTGGTATGAACAAAAATTTTATTTTCCAATGGTGAAATGCTGCTCAGTGTGAAATTCACATTGAGTTATGAACGATGCACAACTATTGGGACTTCCCTAACTTATTTACATATGAGTCTCTTATTTTTTTGTACATGTAGATTTGGCAGCCCTTGAATTCTTTAGAGCAAAAAAAGATACATACATTTTAGTTTCAAAAGTGTTTACATTTTGTGAAACCATGATTGAGCGAGAAATTGCTTAAATGGTTGGAAAATATTTCTTTTTAATACCAAACTGTAGCATTGTGATTTAGGTGTCAAGGTCCTGATTTTTGAAGAGGTACATGACTCAGCAATAAGGGAACTATGCATCAACCAAAAAAGTTATTTCCATTATTAGTCTAGAAATTAGTTTTCTTTTAGAAAGGACAATTTTGAAATAGGAAAATACAATGGTACAGAACATGTAATAGAATGCAAAAAATTTTAATGAATTTATTTAATCACTTTTATTATTCCCCCTTCCCATGTGGCTTGCTCTTTCTCTTACCCAATTTTTTTTCCTTAACCTGGATTCTTTCTTTCTAAAAATGAAGCTTGTGAAACCCATGTTCTCAGGGAGCATAATCACCAAATATCCATGCATAACTTATATAAAAGTTATGCAGATAAATAACAAGACATACATCCCAAAGCTGCTAGCTGCTCTCTTTTTAGATAACCACAATATCAGGCAGAGTTCTAAAACGTATTGATACAGTATAAAGAATCTTCAAAGTAAAATTCATCTTGAAATTATAGTTTATATTTTATACTTATAATCCTTAAACTCTGTAGAACTTAACAGTAATATTTTCTTAAATTTTAACATATATGTATTTTGTCAACCCTGGTGTCTGGAGAGCACAGATTGTTGGTTTTATTTATATTTATGAATACCACTGACCTGAATCATAATCAAACACTGATTATCAGTGTTTTTTCGCATATACATTAATCTGCTGAATCAGAGCGTAAACAATGAAAGATACAAAGTTTTCCTTGATTTCCTTCCATTTGTACTTAGTACTGTAATAAGAAAATACTAGATAATCAAAACTCTTATCTAGGTTCAGTAGATGCTTTTGACTTGTTTCATGGCATGATAAGCAGATTTATATATACTGTAGATCAGCCGTGGTATTTCAGGTACTCTCATTCATAGACAAAAGAACAATTCTTGAGAGGGTTGCAATGTCATATTTGATGCATTTTAATTTTTAATTTGCTTTCATTTTAAATTTATATACTTAAAGAGTGTAAGATGATTCTGATTTTTAGTTAGAATTCTTTTAAAAAAACAATCAGCTCCATTTTGGCTACTGGATGGATTACATAGCCATAGCAATTCAAAAAGTGTTATCCACGTTGTTTGTTAAGGTTCATACGGAAAGATACTAGAATATTCTAAGAAAGACAGCTACTGTCAGTGGTTCATTAAAATGTAAATTATCAAACAAAATTGTGCTATCGCTATTAACCTTAAAGTATTAACTAAGACTCCTAAAAATATAATGTGTACATAAATTCCTTTCCAATTTGTATTTTGTTTCTCATAACGTTACATGAACATTTCCCTGGCTCTTCATGCTGAGGTAACTGGTGATGTAACTCCCAGCAGATCTGTTTTGTGGCTCATTGCCTGACTAGAAAAATGAGATCGGAAGGAATAAGATTATTGTTCCACATATGTGAAAATAATAGCTATATTAATAAATTGTGATTTTACACCTCATTCCCTGTGACGGGAATTCCAGATACATAAACTGTAAAAGCAGGAAGAGGCATAAGGGAGTGAAACACACTGCTTGATTCTTCATAGCTAGTGACTGTAAAAACTTGTTTCCAGGTCTGTGGCAAAAGGCAGTTCTAGGAGGCAAAACCAAATCGGATAAATGGGGATTTCATTCTGGCTAGATTGATAAACCTTATAAACAGAAGATAATACAGCCTTGCTTTCTTCTTATGAGAGAAAGAACACAATCCAGAAACGTGCCGAATGCTTCTACAGTAGACTTGCAGGATTATGCCTATTGTATATAACATATCTGTAATATCACCCATAAAACAGCTGTGGATTGATTTGCTTGTATAAATTATTAACCTACTTGTGACCCTTTTTTCCCTGGCCATACTCTCTTTTAGAAACACGTAGATGAACCTTTAATCATGCACCTGCTCTGACATTTCTGATGCACTGCCCTTGCTTCTTTACAGAATGACATCTCGCTTTGTAGCTAAATGGTACAGCTAAATGATATTGGGATGAAGAAAGCTAAGTTGAATATTTCTGTGACTAGGTAATAGAACAAAAATTTTATTACATCTTTAAGAATAAGTCATAGCATTTGCATTAGTCATCACAAAAAAACCCCCTGTTATTAGACATTCTAAAATTCATTGCACAGAATATGAGTTTATCTAAAGGGGCTTTTAAAAGAAAGATAACCTCCTTACTTAGTCTAATTTTACTTTCATTCCCATTTGAATGGAGCTGAATAATTTCTTCTTTGTACCAATAAACAGATGGATCAGGAAGACACACTTGTAATGCATGGACCACACTGCCTGCTTTCATACCTCATTGCTTACAGTGGGTTTAAACCAAGAGAGAAAGTTTCCCAATATAGTTATAAAAAGTCAGAGTTCTTAGTGTTGTTTCAGGCATATACCATAGTCAAAGTGAATTGCTTTACTTTATATTTGGGGGGAGGGGTGTTGTTAAGAACCAACCTGACTCTACACAAGTTAAATTTTATGAAAATGACAGTGTATTAAAAAATTATTTAAGAGTGGCCAAAACCCCCAGCAAACTAAGCAAAAGCTGTGTTATGTGAACTCCAAAATACTTAAAAGCTATAGTCACCTTTCTATAGGCTCTATCATGTGAGCAATCTCATAAGGATTCTTGTGTATTTATACAATTTCTGAAGTGCAACAAAACGGTGCTTTGTTGAAGTAGTTCATAACTACTTAAAACTGGATTTCTAGAACTGTACAGGTGTGACTGATTTTGCCAAATAGAACTGTAGATGAAATACAGATTTAAGAAAAAAGGAAAGAGATAACGACTATGTGCAGTGTTAACATATGAAATGGTAAGATGAGGTTGGATTGCTGTGCAAACAGTCTCTCAGAGATTAGATAAAACCCAGAAGAAGAACAAAATACAAAGCAAGCATGCAATAGAACTGGAACGTTGCAGATTCACAGACAGCTGGACATGTAAGTACAAAAACCCCAATCTGTAAATACAAATTGATTCCATCAGGTTTACTATACAGTACTTTAGTAGTAACAGACGGTTGAAAACAGCTTTCACTTAACAGCAAAATTAATTTTAGAGGGAAGAAAATGGTGAAGTCTCACCCTGGAGAACAGCAAGAGAGGTATTATATTAAGGAGCTAAAATTTTCTTTGGCATGGTAAAAGGGGAGAACTGAGTTTGCCAACCTATTTACATGAAGTTTCACCATCTTCCAGTGCAATGATGTTTTGCACAGTCTACTTCTTACATAAACTTTTTTGTTGTTTTCGAGTATGCCTTCATATAAATGTTTTATTCATCATGTTGAATCTGTGTATACAACAAATAAGAATAAACACAAACTGTACAATGCAGACAAACTCTTTGCATATATGTATGTAAATTTAGTAATACAGGCCAACAGTTCTTTGATAGACACAACCTACTACATGCAGTTCATCCTTGCCATCCTCTTCCCATGCAACAGATGAGACAAGACAGAATTAAAGGGAGGAAACAAAGCACAAAGACCCCTTTGCTATGTTTAAACAGATTGTAGAAAAAACGTTTTTTAGGACATCTATTCATTGGATTAAACACACATATGGATTTAGCCCATAGAAACAAAACCAGAAAATAATAATGAAAAAAAAAATGCTGTGTTTCCAGGATGCACTAACTGCTTACAGAAATTAACTCTGGCCTTAACTATAGCCCCCCAAACTGGTTCGCAGATCATAATTACCCAGGATCAAAAGTTTAATGTTGAAAACAATACTTATGTAGCATCAGGCCATGAACCAGAACCTCCTTGCATGGCTCAGCCAGGTATCCAGCCCTGTCGCTCCCCAGGCTCTTACACTGGGAGAGTAAAAAGATGGCTGGATGGGACATGAACACATGTATTCCCTCCTCATGAACTCTTACGAAATTCAGGTGAGCGAGAAACAGAATGTAGCCTTCAGATGTATTATATTACTCAAAATATTGTGATGTGCTCCTCATAATTGTAGGAAGGCCTGGGGCCCCCTCTGGGACCCAGCAGGTAGCACAACATCAAGGCTGCTGCCTCCCATGGGTCCTCCAGATGCAGAGCAAGACCCTGGCTCACCATGTGAGTTGCTTTGGTTTTGTTTTGTTTTCTCGGGGATGGTGCACAAATCCCACTGGACCAGATGGGATGAGAAGGGTGTGCCGAAGTTTTTAATAAAGTGTTGTTTTTTCCCATGCGCACATATTTAGTGCTAGCAGGCAAGGGCACAGTCTAAGTCAAAGTTTCTTTGCATTTTTATCACAGTATTAGAATAGGTTTGTATTTTTTTCTCTACATGGATAGTGGGCTTCATGCTTAACTCATTCCCTCCCTAGAAAGACCCAACACCAAGTGTTAGTTTGCTGTTCTCATATTACATACATAAACAAGGAAGTCTGGCCTACGGGAAAAAAAAAGTTTATCTAGAATTTAGCAGCTTTACAGTAGCCTCCTTGAAGAGTGCGCTAAAGTTGCTTATAAAAACAGAACACATTTGAAAACTAGCATGAAGAGTTCATTCAGACTGAATCAATTGTTCAGCTGAGTGGACAGGGAGTTTGAAATAACCAGCGGTCTCTGCTAGGGGCTTCAGCACAAAGACGTGATAAAACAAATTGCCAGAAATACAATGCTAAAAAAGGAATGGAAGATTTCCTTTTTTTGTCTTTAAATACCAAGGTAACAGCAAGAGGCCAAGAGAGCGTTGCCACACAGTTTTCCAGACTGAGGTACAGTTTGGTCCTTGTTGCTCTTTCTGAGAAACAAATACCTTCTTAAGCATATAGAGAGTACCCATATTTTTAGTCTTCTGAAAGCCTGTGACTAAGTGTGCAACACTTCAGTGGCATCTCTGTGGCATTCTCTAAATCTTGCCCCCCTCCCCCCGCATCGGTTTCATTGTTCACAAGTGACAAACTCAAAGTGTTGATAGTGTTTCTGGTCATACAATCCAAGGCTTCAATTTTATAATGTTTCTGATTTCTTCTAGGTTCATGTAGGAGAAAGTACAGTATACAGAGATCAAGGCAAGGCACCTTCAATCTAGCAATTTGGTGGGCATATTATCCTAGGAAGCTGGGTGGACGTACGTACTGGGCTATCAGTGAGATACATAGGACCGGACTTTGCATGCTTAGCTAAAAATAAAAATAAACTTTTGTAATATGTCCAGTTTTAAATTTTGTTTTTAAAACACCAGAAATATTAAACTATAATTTGTAACTACCCTTTGCATTGGTGCTGCAAAAAAGAACACAACAACATCCTTGCCCATGCTTTGCTAAGTAGGTGTGGGATTCAGCCAAAAATAACAATGGCGTTAAGTTCAGTTCCTTAAAAACAGGAAAAGATTATATTTGAAATGGATTTAGGTAGCGCAATTCTGGTTAATCTTATTTGTTTTTTTTTTATCGGTGGTGGTTGTTTTTCAAACAATGAAGATTTAGTAGATGAAAAATGAGCCTTAATTCAGGCCTACAAGGCCTACAAAATTCTTTGGACCCACTTTCCCAAAAATGAGTGGGTCTTGCTCGCTGGGCAAGGCAAATGTTACCATTACCAGTAAGCCTGTGATATGTATAAAACACACGCACAAAAAGAAACTATAGGGGGATGCCAAACACTCGTTTCAGAAAACTTCCTGTTCGT